AATGGGAAGAAAAATGAAGATTAATAGAAAACAAAATACATAATATAAAATAAGATATTCATCTTTTACATGTTAGATTATATATTAAAAGTGTAATTTAAATATTAAAATTATTAAATTATTATTAATAAAATAATAAAAAATAATTTTATTGAAAATATTTTAATAAATGCATAAATAGAGGTATATTTTTACTATGTAATTTAACTATAAAACATTTTTTTCAATAAAATCAATGGCATGTCCAAGAAACTAAAAACAGAATCCCAATGCAATAGTCCTTCACTTCTAAAAAAAAAAAAAAGTACGTCTCTCACAAATACGCTGCTTTTACAAATGGAACAAAAATGGTTTTACAAATGTATCACATGCATTAGATTCAACTTATAACTTTGGCATGACCCAGGAAACAAAAGCAGAATCCGAATGAAATAGTCTTTCACTTCTAAAAAAAGGTTTGTTTCTCACAAATAAGTTGCTTTTGATCCTCATATTCAGGTCTAAGGAATCGGAATCTAAAATTGCAACCTAAAACCAAATCAAACAAAATTGGTTTTGCAAATACATCACATGCAGAAGGTTCAACCTATAACTTTAGCCCCTTGATGTTGGAGTATAATTCACATGTACGTTGACAGAAGCTCATGAAATCTCATGTTGAAGAGAAACAAGATATTAAAGTAGAATATATACGTGGAGGTCCATGAACTTGATAAACATGTTTTTTAAGTTTGATATAGAGTCTTCTCATATATATTTGTGCTTTCACTCACATGCGCTCCCAAGTCAGTCCTAAAACTCAATTTTTAATTAATATTTTTAAAAATTGATAATTAAATTGAAAATTTTATTTGTGTAAATTATATATATTAATTTTCATATTAATCTAACACTTATAATCTTTTAATTAAAGAAACTCTATTAACAAATTTATATTTAACAGTATTAAATTTTTTGTAATTAACAAAATGATGAGGCCTATGAGGACAATTTGAAAATTGTCATATATAATTTATATAAATAAACTTTTCAATCCAACTATTAGTTTTTAAAATTATTAATTAAAAAATAAATTTTTAAATAGATCCTTTGAAAAAAATTTAAGAGGATAACCTAAAAATAACATTTTTCTTTTACTTTTTTTGTAATTGGATGATTTATTAAATTGAAAAAATAATGCTAAGGTTAAACTTAAAAAAAATATATATTTACCTACATTAAAAAAAAAACTATAATTAATTTGAGAAGCGCCATCTAATTTCTACCGGTGAGGGGCCAGTTCTGCTCACCCAGATTGGTGAGAACCCTTGCCAGGTTTCTCACACCAGAAACCTAAAATCAGGTTCTTTCTCAGGCCAGCAAAAAAAATGGGAGGAGGTGAGGACAAGGAGGAAGAGGGAGGATGGAGGAAGAAGATGGAAGCAAAGGTGAGAGGAAGAGGAGGAAGTATATGAATTTTTTTATTTTTTTGATATAGACCTTTCAAAATATTAAATTTGATGAACTGTTATTAATTATTAATTATGGTGAAGATGGGGTTATAAAAAAATAATGATAAATAATATCAAAATTTGAGATTAATAATAAAACATAAATTACATCATTAGAAATATTAAAAATAAGCTTTATATTATTTAATAATTATTATTATTTATTTATTTCAAAATTCGAGATTAATAATAAAAAATAAATTACATCATTAAAAATATTAAAAATAAATTTTATATTATTTAATAATTATTATTTTCTATTTATTTAAGACTTATAATATTTTATATATTAAATAATTTATGT